ATCTCGTTTACATTGGGACCAGGAGCTGGAGTAATTTCTGTACTAGCCAAGCATCTAATAACACATAAATAATGTAAATTATAAAAACAAGAAAAACGGATGAGTGAGTTACTTCATCTGAAAAATGTTGAGGGTGTGACTGCAGTGCTGCTGAGCTATAAATACTGCCCTAAGATCAGCAGTGTTGCTACAAAGAAGATTTAGGTTCCAAACTCAGTGGAAACAGTACGTAGACGGGCAGTTTTATGTGATGGTATCAGTGAGAGTTTTGATGCTGCCCTGTACCCAGCAGCCTGATCTCCAGTTCAGCTAGGCACCTTCACCTAGGCCCTGCTTGAGGTGTTCTTAAGGGTAATTAATTGCCCTTCGTGAGGATGGCTCATAAGTTTAAAGTTAGTTGTGTCATTAAGATTTTTGCTGGAATGTTTGAGAGAACTCAGCCCTCTAGGACTGAGTCCCTGTAGCCAAATCATTCGTATCCGGTGGGAGGTGAGTGAGGAGGCCCAGGTTCTTCCTGCACTTGCTTGGCATCTCAGTGCATGGACTGCCATGTGCTTAAATGAAGAGTTTCTGTATTTTAATTTCATATTCAGCCAAAAGTGGTTTTCTTCTTTGAGGTTCAGTTCAGAGTGCTGTGGAATACCAGATGTTTTGATTTCAGACCATATGCAGGATTATATAATTATAAAATGGTAGTTATCATATTTCTCTCCGCTTACTGCAGAAAACTCCTGTGGCAGGTCTGACACTGTGAGTCTAGATAAGTCTTCATAATGCAAATTTTGGAGGTTTTTTTTTCTTTTTTAGTGCTATAGGAAAGGAAATGAAAATCAGAGCAAGAATTAAAGTTAAGATCAGCTTCTGAAGCTAACAGAGACAGTGCAATTGGAATATGGAATGTTAGAAAATTGCCTTGTATTAGAGAAAGTGCTGATTAAGATCAAATTTATCTTGAGTTTAGATTTTGATCGGATCTAAACCGAGGGGAGGGGATTTATAGCTCAAACACAGTACAAGTGATGCATGGTAATATCCTGTGTTTATTGCCACATGAAATTGCAGTATAGCTTTGAACTGCTGCCAAATCTACAGTCAAGATTCCCCAGTAATCACTATGATTATTCCAAGTCTTCATGGCAATAGTGGGAAAAAGTATGATACTCAAGGTACTGCGGCCTAAACTGTCAGACTCCTTTTTATCCTTTGGGGCTCAGATTGACTGTGACTTCCTTCACATCCAGCAGAAGGAATAGTTAGACATACACATTTACCAGTCAATCCTTAAAGGGATATTAAGCAATTGGATTTACTCACGTTATTTTCAGAATTATTTGACCTCTATATTTCTTCCTCTTTCACCAACTTTTCCTTTTTCCATAGCGTTTTTTATTTCTAGACTGCTTTACTTGCATATGTATGCATGAAGGTAGTATTTTTAATTTTTATTAAAAATCTTTTTTCCTCACTTGCCTGCTGATCTGTACCCTTTCCTATGCATTCTCATTTCCTTGACAATCCATGGCATAGGTTCTCTCCTTGAAACGTTCTTTTACCTCCATATGACTATTGCAAGTTGTATGTCTGCATCTGATCTGAATATACACGTGTGTTATTGTGGTTTATTTAGCAGATGGGAAATTAAGAAGTGAAGTTGGGGATAAGCTGCATAGTACAAAGTTACGATTTTGCTAAAAATATTTTCAGAGTCTGACAGGAGGGAGGAACGTTAAATAAAATTGTTCAGAAATTTAAGTAAAGTTTAAATGTGATTAAAATCTAATCTAGTTTTTGGAGCCAAAGTCATTCAAGCAAGTAGTTATTTATTTTGAGTTAAAACCGTCAGCAATCACTGCTAGCTGTCCTGCTAGTATGTCCCAGTTACATCTCTGCATCAATCACAAGCTCTCTTGCTGGTGTGAAGGTTTGCTACTTGTTCCACTTACAAAGGAAATAAAACTTGTTACGGAAAGCTTTTAACATGGGTACAATATTACTCTGGAGTATTTTCTTCCCTAAGTAGTGTTGGCCAGCAGGCAAGTCTGAGCACCCAGTATATTAGCTGTGAGAATCGAATCTGTATGCTTGGTGCATAGTCATCAATTTAAACTACTGAAGTATAAATCAGAACACTGAGTGAAATTCAAAAATATTTCATTAAATGAATTATGATACATGTGTGGATAAGAGTATAGTTAGGGGCTCTGCCATGTATGCTTCAATATCTACAGTCTTTAGGCTAACTCTCTTCTCAGAGATTAAACTCAGAAAGGTACACAGCCCTTTTGCGGTAGCAAATCTCACAGTGCGTTTGCATTCGTTATATTTGGCATTTTGCGTATGATTTCAGTTTCTAGAATGATGTTATTGAGTGAGTCCCTACCTTTCATTTATTTCTATTTTCTGAAAGCTATTTCCGAGTCTTCATTGCGCAGGAGAAATTTAGACCTACACTCAAGGTTCATTAACAATGAAAAACACTCCCAAATTTATAAATTTAATTCCTTTAATATATTGAAACCAACCTTCTGGGCTGGTTTTTTTTTTTTCGGTCCGAAGCATAAGTCAGAAAAAGAAAGCAATACAATGACACTGTAGTCCAGAGATTACCATTCCACTCATGTGCTGTCTGGGCATGCTGGAGAACCCACCACGCTGATTTGTTATCTCAGCTGTATGCATTTTTTAAAGATGTTAACAGGAGAGAATCAAGATAATGACATTGACAGTGTTGTTTGGACTAGAAGGTAGTATCCAAAGGTATTAAGCTTTCCATCTGGAATTAGTGACATGCTGCTTCTAGTGCCAAAGCATGGAAGGAAGTGTATCACCGTAAAGGTGAGCATGAATGTCACGACCAGCCTTGGGCATCATCCACGCATTCACATGCGACGTTCACATGCGACGATGAGCCTGGACACAAGCTTCGGTAGGAACCCTGGGGCTTGTGCTGCAGCTGTATTGTGGAGGCTGCTTGGCCTCTTAGCACTGGACCACGTCCTTCTTCGTGTGATCCGAGTCGGTCAGGAACCTACAGGGTTGAGCATTATGTAGCTCAGTCAACAAGCAGACAGTCTGAATTAATTTATTTCCAAGAAAAATGCTGATGTTGCAGCCTAAGTTGCTGTTGGTAGTGTGGCAGGAAAAGTACCAGGCTTTGTGCTGGGCACTCCTCTCCGCCTTGCGATGCAAACAACGGCACAGGGAAGCACTGTCACAGCTACACTGAATTTCAGGTTAGTGTCGTGCCCTCTGCAGAAAACTACTTCCTGCATGAGCAGGTTATAGGAATCTTTGGATGCTATACCTGGGCCATGAGCAACGTACTTGGGCTACATATAGTAATAAACAGATGCAGTTTGAAGAGTAGCAAGAAAATAGGAAGCTATGAGTTGCAATGGAAATAAGATAATGTTATTTATGAAGGTGTCATTTATACAGGCTTTCCAATAAATATGACAGCTTTCACACTCTTGGATAAAGAATATAATTTAAAATATAGAAAATCTTAGAGAAGTTGTGGGCTTTTATCTTGCTCTCGCACCACTAAGAGAAGTAGGTTTGGCACAGTGTGTGGTTTCGTGCATGGTTTTGTAGGTGGACCATGGACTCTGAAGTATATGTGCGAGTCTCTTGTTCAGCAAAGCATTTCAATGTGTGTCCCATGTTAGATACATGAAAGTTATGCAGAAAATAGTGGAACTGTATATGCACTTCAAGTACATGCTTAAGTAACCTGTCAAGTTAGAGTTTCAACAAATGTTGTATTTACAGTTTTTTTCCCCAAGAGCAATAGCAGAAAAAACCTCAATCCAGCTGTCATCTCTGCATAATTCATTAGTGCATACTTCATTAGAAATTCCAATTTTTTTTAACTTCAGCTGTACTGCAAAAAAGTAACTACATAAAAATGTACTGTTTTGTCTAAGGTATTTGCTTGTTTGTGTTTATATTATTGTAATTCTTTCTACATAACTGGCTGCCATTTTTGCCTGTTAGCACTTTACAGTCACTATGTAGAAGAGTGATTGGGATTCTGCAGTGTCTTCTGCATTGTCTGCTGAAGATTTTAATTATGTTTTGAGTGCAAGATTTTTTTTATTGTTGTTGAAGTTTGAGCCAAATAGATCCCAGCTGGCCTTTGAAGATTCATGTTGTGTTTGTAGGCTAACAGTTAGTAAAGGCACCTTTCTACTTACAAACTAGGCCTGGAAAGGCGATGAAAATGGGTCCTCACAGTGGCATTTTTAGAACCACACCGCAAGGCACTGGCAAACTGCAAAAGGTGGAGGAGTTGAAAAAAGTATGACTGATTAAATTGTGTGAGGAGAATTTCTTTGTTATTGAAAGCCTGCCATGAAGTCCACACAAGAGACAGCTGAGACTCTTCCTGTGTTTGAGTCAAGGTATTAAATGAAAAGGAAATGCAAATGATTGACATATTTTTCTGCATCAAAGTGAATTGCCATCTTATCCAAAATGTGTCAGCAGGAGGAGAATGTTGTAACAGTGGAGGGATGTTTTAGACCAGTTCTTTCTCTTGGGTGGTTCTTTTCACGTCAGTCTAGCAGTGATTATTTTTAGATTTAATATTTACAACGGCAGCCTCACTTGAAGTGATTTATTTATATAGACATAAAAAAAATGAGTCTTTACTAGTGTCTGTTCTTCTTTGTTAGCCCTGAGATTTTTGCATGTGGCGTCACGAACCTTGCACGAGGCCCAAATCTAAGGTAGTCATTCCGAGTAGAAGTGAGGACTATGGTCAGTTTGGTGTGATTTGAAGGAGAAGTTATAGAGTTTAACATTCCTAGATTTGGTGAGGGAAGATGAGTAGGACCTGGGTGTCCTTGTCTCTTAGGTACTTTTGAGTCTCTTGTCCAAAGAATTCTGATACGTAAGGTATGTATAAAATCTGACATTTTCACATGAAAAATAAATCAATGTTGTCTATCATATAGAAAACAGGCTTCTAAATATATGTTATATTTTTTCTCTTTTAGATAATTCTTGTAAGTTCTTCCCATAATGACCGTGACCAAAATCTTTTCATAAGCATGGATGAAGGAGCCACTTTCCAAAAACAGCCCATTAGTTTCTTTGTGGAAACTCTCCTTTTTCACCCAAAAGAAGAAGACAAAGTACTTGCTTACACCAAGGAAGGCAAGGTAAAGCTCAGAGATACTGTATTTTTTCAAAATTTAGGAATTATTTCATTGAGGTGTGATATAAAGCAGTTGTGATATGCTGATTATTGTTGAGTTTTATGAATTATATATATTTTTATGAAATATCATTTGTCCATTAGGAAACCATATTCGGTTTTTGAGAGGCTTACCTGAATATTTATTGTGTGCATCTCCAAATCTCTTTCTTTTTTAGTAATTTCAATCCTAGCATTTCCAGTTGACATGGATATTGGTAATGTTTCTCCTCCTGCGTAATATTAAAACTTAAACAGAGGCAGCTAACTGCTGCCTCTGAAATATGCTACTCCCTAGAAACTGACCGTGAGCAATTACTCTTTAATTTACAGTGTAGTAGAAAGTTTATGAACTTGAAATACTGCCTTCAAAAGCCTTTCTTGGGACGTAAAATAAAGTCAAATGAAACAAACTTCTGTTTAGTTGTACAGCAAAAGAAGAGCTTAGGAAACACTGAATCTGTAAAAATGCAGAATAATTCTCCCTCACACAAAGTATTTATACCAAATTCAGATTCAGAAGTTGTATGAGCGTGTTCGTAGATTTCGAATATCTTTCAGCTTGCTTCCAATTACATTATAAAGACCAATGTCAATTTTCTGCATGTGTTAGGCAGAACACGGACGACCGAGTACATAGTCCTGCAAGAGCATAGTTCCTGCTCTGAGCACATAATCCTGCGTAGTTCAGCTCCTTCTTACAGTGCCAAAACTGAAGCTGTTAGGTCACTGTGATTTTGGTCCCGATAGTGATCTTGACTCGCTTCCATCTGTACTCCTGTGTTAAGCTGCATTTAGGTAGGCTGTAGGATAGAAATAGAATGAAAATGATAAACTATCAAATTCACTCACAAATTACATGGAATATATTACTTATTTACTTACTAGCTTTGATTTTAAATCCTAACACAGTTAACTGTTATGAATATGATGAATACGTGTCATGTGAACAAAAAACTTCAGGAAAATCTATTTTACGAAAAAGTCTATCATCAGAAACAGAAGTCTAACTGAAAATAGATAGTGTTCCTGAATTGAGTATAGTCAGTTGATCAAATGGCTTTAAAAAATTAATTTGGGTATGATATTCTAGAGAAGTGTATGAGGAAGTTCACCAACCCCAGTGAGTAAAAACGTATGCAAGGAAAGAGAAGGGGGCAGGAGCTCAAAGTGAAGCATTTGTTTAGTGCTTTGCTGAGTTATGCAAGATAGGGAGGTTTTCAGGCTTTTTGTACTTGGATAATCTTCCACAGGGAGTGATACTATTACTTGCCATACTTAAAATGTGACTGGACAAAAATTACGAAATACTGAGTAAAGGCTGTTCTGCATTAGTAGTAGGAAGGATTAGGTGATCTGATAGACTTTTCTCATTCTTTCAATATGACTGTAAAAGGAGACAACCATAAGGATTTTACTGGACAAGTCCTACAGTCTTTGCTTACGGTGTATAGGGAAACAGGATACCTTTGACTCTAACTGGGTGAGTCACTTGCTTAAATTTTGTGCAAGAGGTGAAGTATTCAGCCTAGCAGAGAGAGGAAGATGAAATGATGTAGGCAAAGGAGGTGTTGAAAGTCAGACTTGGAACTTGGCATAAAAAGGTCACTGTATTAAAATCAGTGGTCGTGAGAGATAACGTTGATCTGAACTTGGCCAAGGGAAATAGTTAACTCGAAAATCCAGAGTATACTAACTTACCTTAACTTAAAGAAAGTAGTATCAGGAAGTAACATGATATAAGACTGAGCAGAAGCCATTACCTCCTGTTACTCAAATCATTTCTTACAAAGGCACTCTCAAGAGTACAAGAAATACAGGATCGAGTCCTTATTAAATAGCAATCACCACGGCTTCTCTGTCTGCTGGAGCATCAACTTCCTTTATGTTGCAAAATCTGCAATGTTCTTTCATTCAGAACCATAGATTTTATTTAAATAAAGCTCTAGTCTCTAGCTGACACACTAAATGAATGCAAATCCAGTCAATGTAGTTAGATTAATCCATTTACTATCTCAAACCTATACTTTCTTTTTCTAGCTACCCCAATAATAATGAGTAACAATCACTTGTTCACTGAGTCTATGTAAATGCTTTTTGATTTTTTTAAAACTTGACAGGGATATAGTAGATTTTAATTGTTCGTTCGGAAGCTAAGGAAGAAAGAATGGCCCAGCTGAGTGATGCATCTTCTGTTTTCTTAAGAGTGACAACTTACATTTATTGCATGGGTGGTACTTAACAGAATTAAACAACTATTAAAATTAAAAACAACTGTTTGCTGAAGAGTAAATGTTGAGAAAGTTACCTCAGCCTTTATCTTTACATATTAAATATGGCTGCTTATCTGTAGCAAAATGTAATATGTAATAGTTTTTTCATTTGTTATTAAACCTATCCAGTTAAAAAAATTAATTTCTTACTAGTTCTTAAAAGACTCTATCTCTCCAGACAATCAGCGACTGAATACATGAATTATTATCACATCAGAGTGGATTACTTTTACTGGGATTTTTCTTCTACTAGAGATATTAAGCAAAAACTCATCATATGTAAATTGTATCAAATAAGCAATGCATGTAGACAGCAGAGTGCTTTAAATCTGCCTTTTAAAAATTCTGGTAGATATTTGCTATTTTAAATGGAAGAAACACATTGTGAAGGCACTTGCTGAAGGAGGGAGCTTTCTGAATAGCAATTTGTATCCTGCTTTATTATGGGGAAGACAACTTTCACCTGCGCTCTTGATATCCATCCTTGTCTTTCGCATTCTGCTTTTACTGTGGATAAACCACAACAAGGCAAGGCGGAACCACCATCTTACCCTTCCTCCAGGCCATCTTCTGCCTCTTTGCTGAGCGTCCGTTTTTCAGGGAGCACAAACCGGTATCCCTGAAGCAGGTACTTATGAACATCTCTCCTCATCAAATCTCTTAGGCATTTCTGTAATATTTTTGGTCCTATTTGAGCAGAGTTTTAAATTCCATTGACTTCTTGGCTTAACTATATTTGACTGCATTAAGGCTTTAAGCATAAGGAGAACATTTGTGCTTCTCTGGTCACTGAATGGGAAGAAGGTGAAGAAAAGTGTCCTCTATGGCCCTCTAACCATGCCAAGTGAAAAAGAACCTGACCCAAAATGAATTGTGAATTGTTTTCGTGGTAAAGAAGAAGACATTGTCACTGAGTTATGTTCTTTATTGATTATTTTTAAAAATATTTTCTCTGTGTTTCAGTTAATTTTAAAAAAAATGAAATGGTATTACTCTGAAAATATTTGTAGACAGTTCCTGGAAATGATTTTTTTCATTGGTGTGCAGTTGTAATTTTAATAGTGACATAGGCCCTGTCTTTTAAGAAGCAGTTTCCCATTGTCTAATTTTTTTCTCTCTTTCTCTTCCCCCCTCCCCCCCCCTTTGTAGGTTTATGTGTCAGCTGACTTGGGGAAAAAATGGATCCTTCTGCAGGAGCGAGTTTCAAAAGATCATATTTTTTGGTAAGAAGGATATTATTCTACAAACAAAAATGAAGAACAGAAGTACTTGATTCTAATCAACCACAGTATTTTTGGAAGTACTGATAAGGACTGTAGGAGCCTTGGCATATTTTGCAATTCTAGTATGTCACCATTCATTCCTACATCCACCATTGCAAATACTCATGACAGTGATCATACTTTTAGTGTCAATGCGCAAAGGGTTACAGGTCTGGGTCTATAGTCCCCAAAATTCGGAGAGAACTTTACATGTTCAGTGAAGTTGCTCTTCGTTTTACTTATAAAATGGATCTTTAGAAAGGACAGCAGTCTCTTTGCAGAGAAAAATCTGTAAAATATTCTTTAAGAAAGGTTGAATCACACATATTAACTAGAGTCATACATAAACTTACACTGTTAGGGAAACTGTTGAAAAGTGCAGCTTTACTGAGTACACACACATCAACTGATTTTATTTTCAAGTATTTTGCAGTCTCTCCAAATCTTTACAAAGTGGTCTTTTCCGGTTGAAAAAAATTTGAAGAATAAAAATGCCTTTTTTATACTAATGAAATCAATTTGCAAAATGTATAACTTCCTTTATATTCAAATTAACATTTTTCTTTTTCTACTGATTGTAATTGATTTCATTGTTAAAAGTGGTCAATTTGCACCCTCAACACTTATTTCTATTGAAAAAGCCAGAGAATTCTACCTTTCACATTTTGACTTCAGTGCATGAATATAGACTGTGTATTTCTGATGACTGTGTCATCAGCAATGATTGGGGCTGTCCTGTGATAGGAGTAGCCATAACTTGCTAGATACTTTCCTTCTCTGAGTGACTTTTGATCTGAGTTTTAATTCTAGAGGCACTCTGATCCGTGTTGATTGCATAAAGTATAATTATCTGCATGTTTGTGGAGCAATATCTGGCTTTCAGCAGTATTTTGTGGATTGCTAGCGGTGTTGCCAGTTCTGAAATGGATTTACCTGATTTCAGCTGCCAGATTTGCTACGTGTTTGGCATTCATACTGTTCTCCTTGTTTCTCAGGCAGTTGCTCTCCACTTGAGTTGAAATGGATACTCATCCTGGCAAAAGGCAAAAAAAAACAAAAACAACAAAAACACTTAAGCTTCTGATGTAGAAGTTGCGTTTTATAAAGTACACAGAACTGTTACAGTACATACAAATGCATTGCCTCAAAATGCAAGTTGGCAACTGGTCCAAATATGTAGTGGCATGGTGCTGCTGCAAAAGCCGAGCAGGACGGCGGCTGAGACACGTGAGCAGGTTGAGCTGTGCCAGACTCTCCCTGATGGCAAGAGCTGTGAGCACAAGACTTGACCTACCCTGCTGCACCATTGGCATCATTATCCCCTGGACATACTGAGGCAAATTTTTTTCATACTTCCAAATGCCTCTTCTTCAATAGGCAACCTGCTTACTGTTCATGCTGTCAGACCAGCCCATGGTTTTTTTGTAGTAACACCCCTCTGATTCACTCCAGGTTATGTCCGCCTTTTCTGCTGAAGTACTTGAGTCAGCCTGATCCTTTCTGCTTTCTTGCTTCTGCAAAACATAGCCTTGCCAAAGAGCTTGCTTCCACGTAGCTACTGGAGCTTCATAGGCAATAGCTTCACCGGTCTCTTAGCTACCACGCAAGGGGCAAAATGGTTAAGTGACGCAGTGGGTCAGAAATGTCATGTCTGCCTTACAACCAGCTTCCGTAGTAAGATTATGTAGGGTGTAAGTCAGGAGGGAATTTGGCTCTCTGCTGTTAGTTAAAGAAGCATTTAAAATGAATCTAATAGAAAAAAAACATTAAACTCAGTAATAGTTAAGAAAAAACAGTTTGAATCCTGTCTTCTATAGGCTTGTTTAATGATGGTTTGCTTTTCTAAGTATATTTAGCACACTTAAAGTATGAAAACCTTAACACAGCATTGAAGTAAGTGTCCGTTCTGCTCTGACACAAGTAATATGTCAGTGTTTTTGGTACATAAGAATGAAAGTAAGTAAATGCATGTTTAATATTAAGCATAATATTAAGCAGCATATTTAGCCATGTTTCAGAATACTTTTATGTTTCCTTAAATCATTCAGACAGAAGTCATGTGTGCTGAAACTTGATAAAATACTTCCAGTTATTATTTTAAAATCACGTTTGTTCATAAACTTCACATTCCCCTCAAATAAGAGTAAGAAATTGTAAGCATTTGTATGTTTACAATAGAAATAATTTCTATTATTTTATTTCTTCATTTTCTTTGATTTCTCTCAAGACCTGTATCAGCTAGCAACATCAAGGATTTGGGGGAAGAAATTGAGTGCCTCATCAATGCCAAATGATCTTTCTCTTAAACTTCTTTATAGACAAAGAAATAAAGATTAAAAATATATTTTACTTCTATTGTCATGTAGGACATCAAAATATATATTTTACACACTCTACTTTGAGTGGAGGGTTGGACCTTTGCTCCAGTGGAAGTTGCCCTATGAATATGTGAATATTTCTACTTTTCTATGGCCTTCATCACCAGAGTTATTTGAGTACTAGATAGAAACAAGTATTCGTGCAATTTCCAATGGCTGAAAAATTAGGGACTTTCTCGTACCTCAGCTATTAGGATACTTTCTGCTCAGTCTAACATTCTTTTCTTGATATTATGCAGTATCTGATGCTTTAAAGATAGGTGAAATGAATCCAAACTAATTGTCCATTTCTCTGTAAAATGGAGGAACGTGTTATGCTGATATTGGCTGGTTTGGCCAAGAAGTATTATGTTTCACTGGGCAGATGTTTCTTCTTTGATACCACTGGAGCTTTGCCATTGTATACTATAGCCTCAGGCCATTGCATACTAGTTGATGATATAGCCTCAGATTTTTATTTTAGCCTGGTAACTACAAGTATTATCCATCATCATATTTTCCAGGGCTTTTTTTAAAACAATTTCCTCCTGTGCGCCCAGCAGTAGCCAGATCTTCATGCCTATCCTGAAAAAGCTGTTCCTTACTGAAACTACAAATGCAATAAATTTAATGGAATGTCTTTTGTAGTTATATTATGGGAAGGTCAGTAGGGACTTAGTAGTTCATTTATGTTCAGATCTTACACTCTATGTTCATAAGCATTATATTCAAATAATCTTCTAGACTTACATTGCTTTTCAAGGGTTCTGGACCGTCCCTTAATTATCTCTGCAGATTTAACATATGGAATTTGGTCTTTCATGACAGTGGAACTAATTGAAAGAGTATTGGTATCAGTAGAAAGCGTATAGTATCATCTCTATTTTAGGAGCACCGCATTTCCTCCTCCCCTCTCTGATTTAGAGTGGCATCTTCTTTTGCCCCTCCCAACCTTCTTCCCAATGTGTTTCATTTAGTCTTTTCCAAAGGAAACTCAATTAATCCTTCCTAGCAGATTTTCTTCTCTTAAAAGCTCAGAAGGCAGGACCAAAGGGGGGGCTATAAGGCAGCAGGTAGATGTAAAGATGGTTGGAAAACTTCTATACCATAGAAATTCCTTTCTTTTTCTTTGTTTTTTTTCTCATGCAAGTTGAAATGAAAAATCAAAATATAGAAAAAAACTTATTCAGAAAACTTTCATATGGAAGTACTGAAAAGAAAAGCTCTGACATTTTTCATTGAAAAGCTTTTTTAAAATTTTTTCAAACAAAACCTTGAAATGTGAATTTGAGATTAACTGCAGAAAATCAAATATCAAGTAGCAATATAATTCAAAATGGAACATTCAATTTTGTATCAACATTTAGATAATGGATCTTTTATTTCTTTATAAATATTTTTTGGGGAGATTCAAATCCTTTTTTGTGTGAAAGGTTTTAATTTTGAGCAAATTCTTATGCTTTAAAACTAAGAAACTTTGGATATGTTGACAAACTTAACTTCTGCCTGTACACTGCAACCAACCATACAGCATTGTCCCTAATGTGATGATTTCTATATCAGTGATGTTATAGAATCTAACCTTGATAAACATTTATTTTCTCCAATTCTTAACATATTTGTAGGAGGGAATGAATAGAAATTGCTTAGAAATAGAGTTATATGGCCTATCCTTTTCCAAACGTTAAGCACCCACACTTCACATAGTATGTAATTGCTTTTATATTATCAAACCCATTTAAAAAAAAAAGGAGTAGTGTATTATGTGGTAACAGTTCAGAAGGAAAAAGTATTTGGGATTCTTCTGGCTCTGCTGCTGTTCTTTTCAATCCCCAAGACTTATGCACCAGTTAAGTTCCTTTTGATTTCTCAAAATAGAGCTTAGTAATGCGTAAGTGAAGAATAGATTGTGAATCAGCTGCCTACAGCAGCACAAATATAACCCAGGACAGGAAGGCATGAATCAGTAATTACCAGAGAATTAGGCCCAGCACATTTTCTTTATGACTGTGTCCAGAGCCTTGGAACTATTTTATCCTCAGTTCACTAGAATATGTGGATCCTGTGCTATAGATATCTCTTATTTTTAGATACAGGCTCTCCATTTTCATGAGAGATGAAAAAAATAAAAATAAAAAATGATGAGTTTATTTGGGTAGAGCATTTGTACTCAGGGGACCGAAGTTCTGTTCTCACCATGAAATCCCATATGAGTAATCAATCACAGCTGTAGCCATTAATGTCAAGTGTAGCGAGTTTCTGGCTACTCAAGTGTCAGGTGAAAGAGTGGATTTCAGAGATGTTATGCCCTGAAGGGAGGAGAAATGGAAAGAGGATTTCATTGAGCCTTTAACATTGAATTTTGTGTGAACGGCTCTTGTGTGGGAAGCCAAGAGTCTGTGTGGGCAGTCATTCTTACGTTTGACTTAATCACTTAGGATAACATTTGTTTCTACTTCTGTGTGGTGATCAATATGACAAACCACTCCAGCTCTGCTATTTGGATCAGGCTGCCTGGAAGAATGCTTTTATTAAAAAGTATTTAAGCGCAGGGAGTAAATAAAGAACAGCACATATTGGCTGTGTAGGGCGTGGACTGTGTCA